CCAGTTCTCTTAAAAAAAGAGAGAGAGAGATGCGCCTCTAGAGAAAGAAATGGGGATCTAAGTAATTGGTTTGACTGGACACAGGTCATCGTGGAAGAAGATGGGAAGGCTCTTCAACTGTATAGATGGGGGTGGGGTGGGATGGGGGTGGAGGGTGATGAAGCCACTGGCACAGCACAGAGTTGAGAAACAGTATCTGAACTGACACCCAAAGGCAGCAAACACCTGATATAGAGGTAAGGAGGCTCCCCCAGAAAAGCCGACGACAGACGGGTCAGGAGCACTGGCTCCCAGCAGCGGGACTAAGGGGGCAGCTGTGCCCAAACTGCACTAAAGAAAATATAAGAACCAAGAGTGGGGTGGTTGTGATGCGTGTGAAAGGGCGAGCCATCCTAAACAGCAAAAAGGAAGCACACTACTAGTTAAGCGCTTCCTTCTTTCCCGAAAACGAAGCCATTTCTGGAGGGTGTGCCACAAGTTTTGCCCCGAAGTAGGTCCTCCTCTTCCCACAGCGCTGCAAACCCCGCCCTGTAGCTGGTTACACTGTAACTCCTTAAATAGGACTAATCGCCGGTCACTAGACACACTACCATTCTGAATGAAAGCAGACTTGGCCCCGGATGTGGGCCCTGGCACAGGCCTGCCCAACTTGCAGTTTTAAGTGCCTGCAGAGCATTGCTTCCCAATCAGGCATCTGCAGATATGCTGTTTGCACCCTGGCACATCCACCCGCTGTGCTCTGTGCCAGGCGGGCACACCTTAACCCTTCTCCCACAGAACTTTGCTCAGACATGCCCCGAGGGCCTGCGTTCTGGGCGCTTGTGGGGCTGTGACTTTTGGTAATGTTTTTGCATAGTAATACCCAGGCATGAGCAAAATTTAAAACCAGTTTTATATTGGAGAAAAAAATAGACATCATTGAAACAATGCAAAATCAAAAAAAAAAGACCCAAATACAAATGGCATTTTAGTTCATGGTGAAGGTGACACTTAAGAGGAGGAAAAACACAAATTCACTGAAAAACTGTTTGGGGGAGGAGGGGGGATGCAATTCTTAATGCATTCCCTCAGTTTGGTGCCTCAAAAAATTATCACCCTGATAGGTTGCTCAGTAGTTAGAGCACCAGCCCACACACCAAAGGGCTACAGGTTCAATTCTCAGTCAAGGGCACGTACCTGAATTGCAGGTTTGATCCCATTGCATGCAGGAGGCAACCAATCGATGTGTCTCTCTCACATCGATGTTTCTCTCTCTCCCCCCTCCCTCCTTCCCGTCTACTCTCTCTAAAAATCAATGGATTAACATACATACATACATAAATAAATAAATAAAATTATCAAAAGAGTTAACAGGTATCAAGGAGTTAACTATAAACTAAAGCATAAAGTTTCAAAAAGGTCTTATGAATGAGGTAGAAAAAACTTTCCAAAGAAGAAAAAAAAATTGATAACTTTAGCCCAGCCAGCGTGGCTCAGTGGTTGAGTGTTGACCAGTGAACCAGGATTCCCGGTCAGGGCACATGCCCAGGTTGCAGGCTTGATCCCCAGTTTGGGGCATGCAGGAGGCAGCGAATCAATGATTCTTATCATTGATGTTTCTATCTCGCTCTCCCTCTCTTCCTCTCTGAAATCAATAAAAAAAAATATTTTTAATTGATAAATTTAAATGTATAGTTTTTCTCTATAGATTAAAAGTTAAACAAAATCCAAAGATCAGTGTGAAATGAAAAAGATATTTACAACATGCATGGCAGCAAAGGCCTTACTACTTTAATTTATAAAATGCTTCTACTAGTATAAATTAGGGAGAAAAAAATGACAGCCTAACATGAAAACAGGCAAAGGTAAGAACTAGCAGTTTTCAAAGAAAAAGTTTCTTTGAAATAGTAAAACTTACTGACAATTAGATAAATGCAAATCAACACAAAAGTGAAATACCTATGAGACTAGCAAACGCTGAAGACTGACGACAGCCCGCGCTGTTGGCGATGCGGATGGGCTCCCGTGGACTGCTGCAGAAACAACCTGCTGGGCTCTTGGGGAGGAAAATGTGACTGTCCGTATTTACAGCACCGCCCTGGCTGGGTGGTTCAGATGGGTGGAGTGTTGTCCGTACGCCAGGAGGTTGTGGGTTCGATTCCTGGTCAGGGCACATACCTACGTTTCTCTCTAAGTGGTCGGCTGAGGTGCAGGCTTCACGGAAAAGTCATTCATGCGTTCATGTAACAAATAAAGTTAACCTTTACCTTACCTGAGCCTATGTGTCTTTTTGCATCTATAATTACACACCCTTGAAATGTCTGGGTAACTTGTAACTTCCCTTTTTCTGGATCCCTTAGGGCACAACCAAATGTGCCTGGGCGCCCGGACAGAGACCACAGATTCCTTCATTGTTATCATGTTAATTGTTCCTGCACCCACCTAAGTATGTGTCCATCATTTTACCTTGTATCCAATCCCAGGAGTTTCCCTGCTTTGCTTTCTCCTGCCTCTCTAGTCTATCACCGATAGATTTCATGTAACCCGCCTACATCCCTTCCTTTGATTGCAGTCCTATATAATAAAAGCTAATATGCAAATCAACCGAATGGCAGAATGACCAGTTGCTATGACGCACACTGACCACCAGGGCGGCAGGCGCTTAATGCAGGAGCTGCCCCCTTGTGATCAGTGCACTCCCACAAGGGGAGCGCAGCTCAACCAGAAGCCAGGCTCACAGGTGGTGAGTGCAGCAGCAGTGGTGGGAGCCTCTCCCGACTCCATGGCAGCACTAAGGATGTCCAACTGCTCAAGCTGGCAGTCGGACATCCCCCGAGGGCTCCCAGACTGCGAGAGGGCTCAGGCTGGGTTGAGGGTTCTCCCCAAGTGCACAAATTTTGTGCACCAGGCCTCTAGTGTATAAATATAGATGTAATCCGCCATTCTCCGGAGCATATTTGTTGAGGTTCTGCTTCCCAGCAATTGTCGACAGTTTGGCTCAAATAAATTCACAAAAATTCCTTACAGGTTTGAATGTTTTTATGTTAACACCAATATGTCAGATGGTACAAAATAAAGTGAGGAAGGGGATAAGAAGTGCCTTGAGAAAAAAAGTTGCAATTTTTGTCATTGTTAATTGTCAAGGGAGGACATTTTTTCCATTGATTTTTAGATAGAGTGGGGGGGGCGGAGACAAGAGAGACAGAAGCGTCTCACATGGATTGGTTGCCCCCTGGGGCCGGGGATCAAGCCTGCAATCCCAGTAGTGCCCCTAACCAGAATCGAACTCCAAACCCTTCAGTCTGCAGGCTGACGCTCCAACCACTGAACCATACCGGCTAGGGCAAAGTTGCCATTTTTAATGGAGTGGCTAGAAAAGCTGGTTTCCAAAATTTCTATAATAAACAAATCCTGCTTTTGTAATGAAAATTTTAAAAGGCCCTGAGTTGTTCAGTCCCTTTCTGTGGTCAAACAGGAAAAACGGGGAGGAGGGGCCGGACTTGCGCTCCTGGTCCTTCAGTCACTCCGCCTCCCACCTCCGCTGCCTCTTGTCTGTGGAACAGGCAGGCTGGCGGCTTAAGCAGCAGCCATTCGCTTCTGCAGTCCTGGAGGCCGGCAGGTTGTGTCCGACCAGAGCTGCTTCCCCACACAGAGGACAGCCTTGGCCAGGGGCGCTCTCCGGGTCCCTTATGGGGGGGGGGGGGGGGCTAACCCATTCGTGGGGCTCCGCCCTATGACTCTAATCTGGTCCCAAAGGCCCCACCTCTCAATGCCAGCACCGTGGGGATCAGGTTTCAAGATAGGAATGGGGGAGAGGGGCCTACGTCCAGGTGCTGTCCTCCTTCCTCCCTCCCAACCTGCAGAGAGCCCTTTAAGGGCAACGCGCCAGAAGCCGGCAAACACAAAGCCTCGCCCTGACCGGTGTGGCTCAGTGGCTACAGCGTCGACCTGCGGACTGAAGGGTCCATCATTCCGGTCACGGGCATGTGCCTTGGTTGCGGGCACATCCCCAGTGGCGGGTGTGCAGGAGGCAGCTGATCGATGTTTCTCTCATCGATGTTTCTAACTCTCTATCCCTCTCTGCAAAATAAATAAATAAAATATATTTAGAAAACACACACACACAGCCTCCCGCGCCTGAGAAGGTGGGAGGGGGAGACGCTGGAAGGGGCTGACACAGCGACGGGAGACCTCTCGGGAGACCTCTCAGGGGCCCGCGCCGGACTCGGGGGGCGTGGGGTTGACAGCCCAGCGAAGGGGCCAGCACCAGCCTAGACTGGCGTCCGGCCCGCACACCTGACTCCCCGGCGCCCGGGGAGAGCCCGCCGGGCCGGGAGGGTCCGAGCGCAGGGTGCGCCGGGTCCCAGCGCCGGCCAGTCCTGCAGCTTCGGCCGCGCCCACCGCCCGGCCGCCCGGGGCTGGACCCTGGACTCCAGGCGACAGTGGGGCTCGAGCTTGGGACCGGGGATCTGCGGTCGCGGGGCGGTGCCACCCTGGTCCCGGAAACAGAACTGCGAGGGCGGGACCCGAGCCGGCGGACGGGCGCCAGGGCGGGCGCGGCCACCACGCGGCGGGGCTCGGGCTCTCAGCGAGGACTAACAGTGACCCTACTGGTTAGGGAAACGCGCAGGCCGAGCACCCCTAAGTCCCTTCCTCGGCGAGGGCAGCCCCGGGACACCGAGCACCGGCCGCACCCACTCCCTCCCCGCCGCAGCGCTCCACTTCGGCGCATGCGCCTTGCACGCCTGCGCCTCACCCGCCACCCAGTGCCGAGACGCCCGCTACGGTGGCTGTGCTGGGGACACATTACCAACGTGCGACCGTTCTGCAAACCCAACCCAGGAAACATGAGCTGGTGGGGCCACTTTAGGAAGGCGGAAGGACTAAATAAATAAAGTTGGGAGTGGAAGGGTTAAATCAGCAGGCAACCCTGAGGAGGAAGAAATTTCAGTCTCTGGCTCACAACCAGGAGCCTGGAGCAGGCACTCGGAGGAATCGCGGCGCTGGGAGCCCGGCCTGGGGGCCCGGCCTGGGGGCGTGGCCTTAGCGCTTCCAGGGGCGGGGCCTGTGGCGGGGCGGGGCCTTCTCGAACCACGCCACGCCCTGCCCGAGGCCTGGTCACTTCACCCACACGGCGCTCGGCAGCTGCGGTTGTACCAGCCCTTCGGAGGCGATCCAGGTAAGTGCACGCACCTGCGGGCAGCGAGGCGCGCCGGCCCTCGGGGGCACATCAGCTCCTGCGCTGGCACCACCCATACCTCTGCAACCCGAGCTGAATAGAGACTCGCTCTCTTGCCCCCTTACTGTCTGCAGATTTCTTTCTACCTTTCCATCCCCTTCGCCCTCCACCTGCCCTGCATCCTCCCCAGGATGGAGTGGTTTGCAGCGTCTCAGCTGGCCCCTGCCGTGCCATCTGCAACTCAGAGAGATTCTCAAGGTCAACCCTTCCAAAGTCCCTTCCTTCCCTTTCCTCCAGTCCCCGGACTGTGCGCCCGACCTTGCCAGCTGCAGCTCTGGTGCGAGGACGGGCGTGCGGGCACTGCGGGGCAGTGGGCAGGGCAGGCCCACCGGTAACACCGGGTTTTAAACGACCCTGGAGCGCTGCGCCGGCTGCGGCTGTGGCTGTGTTGCCAGGGACCTCCGGGGAGCCCCGAGGGAATGGTGTTTGTTTTCCTCCCGCCCCTCCGAAACCTTTCTCGGTTTGCATTGGACCCTTTAAGGGGGCATTTCCTACCTCGGCCTTGGCGGGATCTTCCTTTACGGTTCTGCCTGGGCTTTCCGAGAACTTCCCTCTGCGGGGTGTCGCTGCAGGGAGCCCCGGGCTGTGCGCAGGGCGGTGGAAGGGGCTGAGGACTCCATGGTGAGTCATCCCGGAGTTGTGGCTTCTGTGATACTTTCCTCCGGAGTCATGAGGTGACCGGCTCCATGGCAGCGTAGGGGACAAGTGTGGGAAGGGAGAGCAGAGCCAAGAGGGTGGGGCTGGGCCTTCAGTCCCTAAACTGGAGAAGCGGATTCCTGGATGAAGGCCACGCACTGCGCTGCAGATGTGCATCTGCAGGGGACCTAGGTGTGGTCAGCGGCGGACAGCCGCAGCGTTGCGCTTCCTCTGCGCCTCGGAGGAGCCGCAGTGCTGGGAGGGACCCAAGGGAATCGGTCAGAGGTATAGGCTGTGTTTTACTTAGTTCGATGAATTCAGTTCAGTGAACTTGGCTCAATGAATCTGGTTCACTAGTATGTGAGGAGCGGGATCAAGAGTGTTTTTCCTCCTAGGAGTTAATGTACCGGTGTTAAATACAACTAACATCCAAATCCACATAAATATTTTTCACCCCTGGGAAGAAGTTCTGTTTAGCTTCCTCCTGACACAATGTTACAAAAATAGCAAACTCTGTCAAGCATCATTTTCACCCCTGAACCCATGTTACTATATATAAAACAGAGGCACTGTTGGGGCACTGGCCAGCCGCAGAAGCTGCGCTCACAAATCCGCAGAAGGGCAGTCTCCCCACCCCCACACCCCCACACCCCTTCTGCTGGCCTAGCTCTCCGAGGAGACAGTCCTGAGAGGAACCTCCTACTAGTAATTGGAGGACAGCAAAGAGACTCAGCAGGTGTGAAAGAAGAGCTTTCCCCGTTGTCCAGAGAAATGCTGAAAAGCCCCTGGACCAATCTGGAATGAAATGGATGACAAGTCAATCTGTCAAAAAGTAATTTAGTTAGTGCCTGCTGCACAGCTGGCTGCATTTAAACAGACTGGTCCCTGTATTTCCATTTAAATATTCTGAATCCATATTCAGAACACCATTGCCAATCACATCTGACCAGGAACCATTTCGCATTTTTATTGATTTCAGAGAGGGAGGGAGAGGGAGAGAGAGCTAGAAACATCAATGATGAGAGGGAATCATTGATAGGCTGCCTCCTGCACACCCCCTACTGGGGATCGAGCCCATAACCCAGGCATGTGCCCTTGACCAGAATGGAACCCGGGACCCTTCAGTCCGCAGGCTGACGCTCTATCCACTGAGCCAAACTGGCTAGGGCTCATTTCACATTTTTTAAGCAATATTTGTTTAAAAGAATATGTTGCTACAGTTTTTGCAATGGATTCATTAATACTCTTTATGAGTATACCATCCTCCTGAAAAAGAAGAATTTAGCAGTTATCGGGTAGTAGCTGCTGTGTAACATAGAATTCCTGAGTTTGCTACACTCTCTCTTACAGTGTCTACCTAACTCTCTTTGTGGGGAGAAAAGCGATGAGGAGACAGGACTGCCTTCCCAATACATTTGCAAATCCCTGGAAGGATTTCAGCATTTGGAATTGTATGGCCCCCTCTGAGCTCTTTCCAGAGTTGACCTGTTTATTAACTGGAACTTGGGTTCTAATGTATTGGTGCCTTAGTACACTTTTTAAAAATAAGTGATATTTTATTTCTCCAGCCTAAGAAATGTGAATGATTGGTACAGACAGGCATGGAGAGTGAGACCCCTGTCCGGGGCAGGAGCCAGCAGCCCAGGTGGTTCCTTCGTTCAGAATGGCTGGCACCCTGGTGGGGACTCTGCAGAATCAGCTGCTGTTTCTTGTGATGGAAAATCCAAGTGGTGTCAGTGTGACTCATTTGAGATTTTTCTTTTCCTCTTCTGGCAATCAGGGCTTTGTTTCCCTGTGGCCCTCAGCGCCTGTGTAATGCCAGTGAAGGGACAGGCAGCATGGGAAATCATTTTATAAAAACCAAGTGCCAGTGCTTACAGCTCTTTTCGAATTTGTCCAGCAGGTCTTCCGGCGTTTACTGGACGGCCCTAAAAAAATAAAAATGAAATGCCAATTTCTGGGCTGCTTGCCCCTTGCAAACCTGAATGCCTGAAAGACGGAAGACGGTTTTTCCTTTCTGTAATCTCTCCTCGTTTGCCATACTGCAGTGACGACATGCTTTTTTTTTTTTTTTTTAAGTTCCTTTCTGGACCTTTTCCAAGGTTTTTTCTTTCTTCCAATTAGAAAGATCTCAGGCTTTAATCGGTCACAGATTTAGAGTTAATTATTAGCTTTCTATTCTTGTGAATAAGGAGAGAGTCTGAGGAGGTGGACAAGTTTCAGAAGAGGTCAGATGTGGTCAAAGGTGGCTCCAACCTCCTTGAGAGGCAAGATAGCCAAGGGCTGAGAGCATAGACCCTGGAACCAGGCTGCCTGGCTGTGTGAACCCAGGCAGCCTCTGTGACGGCTGTGTGACCTTGGGCAGATGACCTAACCTCTCTGATGCTGTTTCCTCTTCTGCAAAAATGGAAGTTATAATATATCCTAGGGATGCTCTGAGGGGTTAATGAGTTAATCACGGTGAACTCCTTAGAACAGTGCTTGACGCGCAGTAAATGATGCGTGTGCTAGTAATAAGTAGTATGAATAATGATTTGTTTCTCCAACCACTCTTTCTCCATCACGCCTCCAGACACGCTGGCCTCCTTTCTCTTTCTCCACAAGAACAGCCATCTCCCTGCCTGTGTGATCACACTTTCTGTCCCGCAGCCGTCATTCCATCCATCCCATTTCACAGCCCTCCTGTGCTCTGTCCCTCCTTGACTGTCGCCACTGTGGCCGTGCCCTCCAGTGGAGCACTGGCGCTTAGTAGGGCCGGGTGGGGAGGAGCCCTTCTGAGCAGGACTGAAGAAGGCGGCAGGTGGGCACCAGGCAGGCATTCCACGCAGGTAAGTGGGTCGTCTGGCAGAGACTTTAACAAATAAGCAATTGTTGAGATTTTTTTCCTTCTGCGCCCGTGGCTTCCCCTGCTCTCTCCCTGCCTCTGAGGTCACTGCTTTCGGACCATGGAGCGTCTCTTGCAGCCTGGCCCCGTGAGCCCGTCACTGGGAGGCTGAGCTCCAGGTGGTCTGGTGTGACCCAGGGCTCCCAGGTGAGGTGTCACCACATCAGGGACTGTCACCCATGGAGCCTTTTGTGTTGAGAATTTGTTGGCAAAGTGTCCTCGCACCAGCAAAGGGACCTAGGATCTGTCCCGTCTCATTACAAACCCACTCTTCTTAGATTCCTGAAGCTCCATTAGCAGCTTTCCCAGGGGATTCAGCTCCATTCCGGCTCGTGTGTGCCTTTTCACGGTCACCTCCAGAGAGAAGGCGGTAGGCATAGCGCATCTGCTCTAACACCCCGTGCAGATGCACCGACCAGGATCTGCCAGACATGCGCATCTTGGGGCATTTCCTACCTCGGCCTCAGCGGGATCTTCCTTTACGGTTCTGCCTGGGCTTTCTGAGAACTTCCCTCTGAGGGGTGTCGCTGCAGGGAGCCCGGGGCTGTGCACAGGGCAGTGGAAGGGGCTGAGGACTCCATGGTGAGTCATCCCGGAGTTGTGGAGTCACAGTGACGGGCTACATGGTGGCGTAGGGGACAAGTGTGGGAAGGGCGGTCAAGGGACCCCTAATGCAGGAATGAACTCAGTTCTCCAAAGTGCTGGGATTAAAACATGTGACTCTTGAATATATAGACGGCCAAGTGGTGGCTATCTATAATAATAAAAGCATAATATGCTAATTAGACCAGACAGCCAAACCAACTTCCAGACGTTATTACGGACGTCCTTCCCGACGAAACCGCGGTGGCACAGGCCAAAGCAGAGGCGGTTAGGAGCGATCAGGTGGGCAGGTGAGCAGTTATGGGCAATCAGGCAGACAGGCGGAGTGGTTTGGGGTGATCAGGCAAGCAGGAGAGTGGTTAGGGGTGGGCAGGCAGGTAGGCAGAGTGGTTAGGGGTGATCAGGCAGGCAGGCGAGCAGTTAGGGGTGCTCATGCAGGCAGGTGAGCAGTTAGGGGCAATCAGGCAGACAGGCAGAGGTGGTTAGAGGTGACCAGGCAGACAGGCGAGTGGTTAGGGGCAACCAGCCAGGCAGGTGAGTGGTTAGGGGTGATGAGGCAGGCAGGCAGAGTGGGTAGAGGCGATCAGGCAGGCAGAAGTGGTTAGGGTTGATCAGGCAGGCAGGCGAGTGGTTAGGGGCAATCAGGCAGGCAAGCAGAGGCAGTTAGGGGCGATCAGGCAGGCAGGCGAGCAGTTAGGGGCGATCAGGCACAGCTGTGACAAAGAGGTTTGCATCCTCACCCGGTTCTTACTCCTTCTCTTAAATGTCTCCGTGCTCCTTCTCAAGTCTGGCTTCACTGGAAATGCTGGCAAACACA